AAATAAGTAAAGCCGCAGAAACCTTACCCAGTTACCTGATCTACCCTCGGGTAACCCGGGTAACCCGGATACGTGCTTATTTGTAAACTCCCTGAAAAAAAGATGGTCTTAACCATTTTTTTTTATCAGAGTTGTGATGATTGGCTAAAATTTAATATCCGCATTTCACAATACGTATAAATCTACTCAATTAATCTTAGTGCTTATGCACTAGCCCTACATTTAAGATGTTTGAGAACAATCAAAAGCTTGCTTATAATGCCGAATGCATACGTATGCGCACATCATTTAACTCTTTAGATTTAGATAAATATACAGTTAACTACTGTATACATTTTATTGCATTCCATTCTTGGTACACTTTTTATTACCGATGATCGAGAGTTGATCGTAAATTAAAAGAAAAATTCTCGAAAATGATAACCCAAAATCTTGTTTTAGTTGTAACAGGAGCTTCTGCTGGTATTGGCAGTGGGATTGTTCTAGTAGCTATCCAAAATGGAGCCCGGGTTATTGGATGTAGTAGAAGTAGTGAAAAACTCGAAACATTAAAAAATGAAGTAATTAAGCGAGGTTATTCTGTAGATTCCTTTAACTATGTGGTTGGTGATGCATCAAACAAAGATGTTGCAAAAACTACTATCGAAAAAGCTATTGAACTTTACGGTCGCATTGACGTACTTGTTAATAACGTTGCGTAAGTTCATTTACAATACGTATGGTTGTAATTGCATGTTTATAGTGTTAATTTATATTATTTATTTCGGTATTTTTAGTGAAGTTGATGTTGGTGATCGTCTCTCAAACATGGATTTCGATAAATTTATAAGGTAGAAGAATTCGCGAAAATAAAAATTTGACATTTCATCAATAACAAATAAAATATTTTAGAATTTACGAAGTCAACATTTTCACTGCATTTTATTGGATTCAAATGGCCTTACCTCATTTAAAAGAAGTAAACGGAAAGGTTATAAATATAAGTAGTAGCTCGAGTGTTACAGCAAGAGTAGGAAATTCAGCCTATGCCACGTAAGTGAAACATAAATTTAATACAAAATTAAGCATGTATTTACATCAATTCTATTATTTATAAAGTTCGAAGGCTGCCTTAAATATGTTAACCGCATGTTTGGCTGAAGAAGAAAAAGAAATTCAAACAATCGCGATTTGTCCAGGACCAGTATTCACAGAGTCTTTGGAAGCTAACTATAGCAAACGTGGTTGGTTTAAATTAACTTCTTTTTAAATAGGTAATGTTAACATATTTAACATATGACACTATCATTTCAAAAGACGAAAATATAGCCCCATATTTCAAAGCGTTTCAAGAAAAATATAGTATAAAAGAATTTCGTGAAAGATCATTCCATCCTGAAGATACAGGACACTATGTTTGGGGTTTGATTACTAAATTTCCCACAGAATTTAACGGAAAGTTTGTATTGTCTACTGAACCTTCTTTAGCCAGTTATCATAGAAGAACTATCCTTGGCCTTTTATAAATTATTTATAGCTAATAATTGATTGAAATAAATCCTAATACATAGTACATTAAAAATATTGAAAAAGAAGGTGCAGCCATAAACGACAAATAGTTGTTAACCATGCAAAATTCCTTGAAAAATTCTATAAACCAACTCCAAAGTTTTTTGAACGAATGTAAATTTCTTCACTTTGAAATTTGGTGTTGCAGAAGGATTATTGTTTAATAAGGATTATAGTTCATGGCATCGAAATCGGAAATTCGTAGTACCTATATTTGCATCACCAAAATTCCTACAAGGATTCGCCATCAGTGTTCAAAAATTATTAATGAATCTGAAATAGATGAGAATTAGTTATAAAAGATTGATTAATTTTGGATTTTATTTATGGATAATAAAATGCTTCACAACAGACATTACGATTCCACAAAAATTTTTGATTTTGGTTTATGGATAATAAAATACTTCACAACTGACATTACGATTCTACAAACCACAAAAAAAACCATCTTATAGTATGGCTTCATTTGACACAAATAATGAAATAATTCAATCTTTTTTTATATGGTTCATTTTTTTTCTTTATGTCTTCGTTCGTAATGATTATACCTGGTTTTAAATCTTTCAGAGAATTGTGAAATGTATGACTAATACTGTAATCATATCATCGAGAAGAGGAAAATCTTGATGATGGTGAAGAAGTAGAATCCAACTTTTGATCGTCTTTTAAAAGCTCATGCTCCAAGGGATTCTGGATACAAAAATGTTAAAATAGCTCCAAGGAATACTTATGAATTAAAGCTGTTTTATGAGACATTCTCTTGAATGTTGTTGGTATGTAAACTTTTAATAATTATTTTTTATACGGATAAATCCTAACCTATTTTTTATTTATTTGCAGTATATAATAAAATTATCGCCTATCACAAGTGTTCTGCACATTTTTACCAATCATCTGCAAAATTATCGCAGCCTATGACTATGAGAAAAGATAGAATGGATCGTATTAGATAGGCATTATGACATAATTACCGAATCGGTTAGATTTTTTCAAATCAAAAATTTTATTGCGAACAAAACTATGCGCTGTTTAAACGAGATACAGTACCCGAGTTTATT